TTTTGGGGAACCCTAGCTCGTCCGGGCTCCCTCCTCGAGTCCTCGTCAACGAAATTTCCAAGCGACTAAAAACGAGATCTGAGGAAGAAAAAATTAGAGAGGAAAAAATCAGCATTTTATCCATCTGGGGAAGCACGTTCTGAGAGAAATCCGAAGGCGCCGCAAACAAAAATATGGATTCGATCAGAGGGTTCCGATCTTGTTAGCTACCTAAAGAAGAAGAGAAGGATCCGGGACGAAGAGTGAAAAATGACGAGAATGGAGTGGAGGAGGAGTTCCGAACCCTAGCTGCCAGAGATTTTGAGACACAGCTTTTCAGCGGATCTGAAGAGCTGAATTACCGGAAATTATGAAAGATCAGAGAGCCCGGCTGCTGCAATTGGGAGCGTGAGAGCTCTGAAGATCTGAGGAAAAGCTGAAAATCATTTAGCAACTTGACTTGAGCATTTAGAGGTAAACGTATGTGATGTTGTGTTGTAATTTCTTAAGTTTATGATGCATTATTTCCATTTCATTAAGGAAATGAATGATATAAAAGCTTGAAATTGAGTTTGGTTCATTATAGCCTTGACTGATAATCCTATCAAACTGGGTTACAATATTTATCCTCATTAACTTAAGTTGAAATAGTAGCATGGATCCAGGGTAGTGTCTGATAATCAATCTGCATTCAAGCTTCAAAATTAGGATTTTTTGGAGGTGGACAAGGATCTGTGCTATCTATGTGACTGTATACTCTCTTGCTTTTAACCATGGGAATCATCAATTTATTCCAAATAACAAAGTTTTCATGTGTAAGAGTTTCTGGAACAAAGGTTTTGATATTAGATACGGTGAACACTGGGTGTGAAAAATAGAGAGGATAGTCGGATTGATGGCAGTGTTTATGCTTGGAGAAGTCAAAGAACTGGTGGTTGAAATTGATGGGATTATGGGCAGATTCATGGTTGGATTGGTTGAAATAGGAATGGTAGGGGATGTAGAAGATGATTGTTCAGAACTTGAAGAAGCCATAAAGATTTCCCAAGGTAAAAAGTAGAATGATGATAAGGACAGATAGAAGAAGAAGAAGAAGAATCACAGACAAAAAACTTAGGGAGAAGATTTGGTGCTGGACTGTGGCTCTGTACCTATATAGCTGTGAATGATAATCCTCACTATCATCAAACTATAGTTACAATATTTATATGTTTATATAGTCATATACTAAATTACATATTAAACCTTAAATACAATACACTATCATTTGTGATTGTTATCTTTGATTTCCTTTTCTGTTCACCTATAAAAATTGGATATGGTCATGTTGGATTTTTGGCTATTTCTGCCTAAAGTTTTAAAGTTTGTGATGGACTTTTCTGTTTGGTTTAAAGTTACTGTTGGAATGTGATTTTTTATCTTCATTATTGAAAGATATTGATGTTGATGGGATTGCTAGATTTTAACCGAACATCCATCCTGTTCTTCTTTTCTTGAAGCTGATTTATTCATGGGATGGGTATACTTGCTTTGACCTGAAGAACATGACAGTGGTTTGAACATTTTAATATCTGGGATAAGAAGGAAATAAGTGTATATAAAATCTAGAAAGCCATGTCATGTTTTGTTAAAAATTGCCTGATTGCACTGATAAAGCATCAATTCCTCCAATTCTTTCATCTACCAGAATCTATTATGACATAAAACATATGCAAGTTGGTGTGCTGGCTCCTTTTTGGTTTTAGTTTTGAATGTTTTTTCTTTTCAGGTTCCAGTGGTATCTTGGACTTTTGGACATGTAATGAAGATAGTCCCGTCTGTTTCTGGACTGATTGCTAATAGGATTTGGAAAACTAAGGTGTTGGAAAGTCAATTTATCTGAAGCCACTTTCCAAAGTGAAGAAAATAAGATTCCTACTAGCAAATGCCGAACATGAACCGGATGAGATTCCCAAAGAGATACTTGATTGTCATTTTAACCTTCATTAGCACATGTGTTTGTTATATAGAGCGTGTGGGTTTCTCCATAGCATATACTGTTGCAGCTGACGCTGCTGGAGTTAATCAGTCAAGCAAAGGCACAATACTTTCTACATTCTATTATGGTTATGCTTGCTCTCAGGTGCCTGGAGGATGGGCAGCTCAAAAAATAGGAGGAAGAAAGGTTCTTCTTCTCTCATTTGTATTATGGTCATCAACATGCTTTTTACTGCCGCTAGATCCTAACAGAGTCACAATCTTAGTGGCGGCTCGCTTGCTTGTTGGTGTGGCACAAGGGTTTATCTTTCCTTCTATCCACACAGTCCTGGCACAGTGGGTTCCACCTCATGAGAGATCGAGATCTGTCTCACTTACAACTTCAGGAATGTATCTTGGTGCAGCTATGGGAATGCTTTTCCTACCTAGCCTAGTGAAGTTCAAAGGTCCACAATCTGTGTTTCTTGCAGAAGCTGCATTAGGTGTCATGTGGTCTTTGCTTTGGTTTGAATATGCTAGTGACCCTCCTCGATCTGACCATCCAAAAGCCACTGCAGCTGGTTTTGGGGAATATTTGTTGCCAATAAATGCAAGTCAGAAACAAAAGCTGGAGAATGGAGGAACTGCAGGAAGAACTACCAAAATCCCATGGAAGAGAATTTTCATCAGCTTGCCAGTTTGGGCAATTGTGGTAAATAATTTCACATTCCATTATGCTCTCTATGTGTTGATGAACTGGTTGCCAACATATTTTGAGCAGGGCCTTCAACTCAGTCTTCAGGAAATGGGTTCTTCAAAGATGATGCCTTATCTAAACATGTTCATATTTTCAAATATTGGTGGTGTGGTTGCCGATCACTTCATCACCAAAAGGATACTCTCTGTGACTAAAACTAGAAAATTCTTGAACACCATAGGATTCTTTGTTGCTTCTCTTGCATTGATGACACTTCCCATGTTCAGGACTTCCAGTGGGGCAATCTTCTGTTCTTCAGTGGCTCTTGGTTTCCTGGCACTTGGGAGAGCTGGATTTGCAGTGAATCATATGGATATTGCCCCGAGATATGCAGGTATTGTTATGGGCGTATCTAATACAGCAGGTACCCTTGCTGGCATTATTGGGGTTGATTTGACCGGCAAGCTTCTTGAAACTGCTAAAACTACTTATTCAGATCTTTCAAGTCCAGAAAGCTGGAATGCAGTGTTTTTCATACCGGGGTTGCTGTGCATACTTAGTTCTGTCATATTCTTGCTATTCTCTACGGGAGAGAGGATTTTTGACTGAAGTTGGCTTTTTGCACTGGTGCTTTTATTTATTATTTGATCAAGCAAGTCTGTTATGGTAATCTCTGACTCTCATTCATGGTATAAACAATTCCTGGGAAGAGAAGGATGTGTATCATAATTGAAGAAGGTATCCAAAGTGATCCACTGAGTGGTAGCTACAAGAAATCAATTTTTTTTTATCATAGATGTAAATTATCCGTAGCTCTTACCATGATGGAACCCAGGTTTATTGATTTGTGCATTGGACCACGGTACATGTTGTGGCGTAAATACTTGTGTTCAATTTGCTAGTTCAAGAGCAAAATTCTTTCCTTCTAAGAGATCTCAAAGAAATAGCAATTTGTTTTATGTGCCACTGTTCGGTGGTTTGGCTAATTGCGCTTCAGTCTATTGGTTTGGGGTCCTTGGTTTTATAAAATTATTATTAATTTTTTAATTTTATCAATTTGATTTATGTTTACAACAGCATAATAGTCTTTGTAGTGTCAATTCAAAAATATTATCTTTCAATGAATATTTTGAAAAATGAGTAAATTAAATAATTTATTTATGTAAATTGTGTAAAATTTTAAATTAATTTACCATTTATAATTATTTGATTAATAAATCATATTCTCTAACATATATTTAATTAAATTTTTATATAACTAATGAATTGATTAAATATATTTAATCTAAAAATTGATAAATATTATTTACATTAATAAAACATTAAATTCAAAGTCAATTTTTCAAAATACTCAATGGAGAATTGTATTTTTGAAGTGAGACTTCATAAAGTGGGACTAACATGCATTATTCTCTTATAGGTTTTTGGGCAAGGATTAAGGAAGTATTAATTGTACCTTTTGTCAATTAATTGTTATGAAAAAATTTTAAAGTTGACTTATGTTTAGGGTGGTGTTGAGTCTGCAATATAGAGATGATGTGGAGGTTAACTAGGATGCCCTAATGTGAAAGAGGGAGTCCTTAAGGTCAAACTTGTTTCATGTATAAGAGACTATAAATTGCAACCCATTTCTAACATAGATAGGATGTTTATTTCTCTAGTGAAATTAAGAAATGAACTTTCTCCACAAAGCCTAGAGAGTTGAATGTGTGATGATGATGACGATGGACTCAAAATAATGATTACACAACTACCAAAAGGTATGGATAGATGAGTAACATTATAATAGGAGCAACTTGGATAGAAATGTGAGAGTCAACTTGTATACTAAAATAAACACATCTATATGTAATACATTGTAGAATAGTGAAACACACAATAGATATGTCCTCTACTTTCTTTAATAAACACATGAATTATAAAGTAAACAAGATTCATGTTATAGTTCAAAATATAATAATTTTCCTCTTCTAAATGATTAGTGATGAGAGAAGAAAGAATGACCATTGTGGGGACCTCTAATAGAGGACTTCATCTCGTTCATTGATGCTAACCCCGTTGTTGCTTAATCTTCTAATGCTCAAGAAAAGAAAGTCAAAACCTCACTTACAAGAGTGTGATCTTTTGACCATAATGAAATTTATGTCTAAATGATGATGAGTGTTGGTTGGAAGTGAAAAAGATGATGTAGAAAGTGGAGGTTTTTGGAGAAGAACAGGCGAGCTTGAGCTTGAGTTGAGAGGAAATGAGTTTCTATAATTCTAGGTTACTCATGAGAAAGTGAGAAAGTAGAGAGAGTAATTGTGAAGATAAAATTTGGCTTAATTCAAAAATTAGTCTATTAACTATCAACTTGATTTCATTTTAGTCTAGAAAGTATGTTTTATTTCTAAGTGGTCTATAAACTTTGGAAAATATTTCAGAATGGTTTATCGTACAAGATTTTTGTTAGTTTTAACGGAAGAATTAACTTAGAATTAAAATATAATAGTCCTCTAAGTTTTAAAAAAGTAACGCTATAATCCCAATAAAATATAATGAATCAAAGAATACTCTATAGAGATAGATTAGTTAGAATTTGGGATGAAATTGAGCAACTAGCTCAATTTGAAGAGAGAAACCTAGCGAACTTAGAAAGAAAAGCTTTAGAGGTAAGTATTGAAAATACAATGAGAGTTAGAACTCTTAATTACAAAATAAGAACAAAAAGAGAAAGAATAAATACATTAAGAAATATTATTAATACACTTCTATCAGCATGAGCAGTGAACAAATAAATCAAATTAACATGTATTTACTCAATATGATAAGAAAAAGTATAATAGATATAGAAGATACAATTATCATAGATAATATTCTAAAAATAGAAACAATTAATGAAAATACCCTAAGAAGAATTAAAGAAATGGGAAAATCCCTTTCTCAAGAATTTGATTCTATTAAAGAAAGAATAAATAATGTCAAAAACTCTAGAAATTTGAAAGAAATAAAAGAAGAAATAAGGTCTATTAAAGACTCAAAGACTCCGTTATCTTAAGTAAGAGAGATAAAAATCAAAATAGAAGAAATTTTCAAGATATTAAAAGCAATTGCTGAAAAATTTACAATAAAAGTTTAAAAATGTATAACAGAATAATTCTACAACTAAAAAGTGATATAGATAAAAAATTTTATAAGATCCAAACACAACTCAAGGATTTGCAAGATACTATAATATCAATCTGTAGTAGGCGAAATATTGTAGATAGAAATGAAGGATTTAAAATAATCTCAAATATTTTCACGAAAAAGCCTAAATCAAAATGGATAACACTTTTCATGTTAAAAACCCAAGAAGAAAAGTTGAAAGAACTTGAACAAAAATTCTTAGAAGAAGATAATGTAGAAGAACTAGATAGTCTGTACAGATAGATTACTGTAACTACTAAACAATTAGAAAATATGAAAATGAATACCCAAAAGGAGGAAATAGAAGAGGAAAGTGAAGAAGAAAAGGATGAGACACATCCTAATATAACCCCAACAAAATTTCCAGTGCCACCTGGAGTAGAATCCAACATAAGCCAAAGCTATAGAAAAAATAGAAATCTAACACATGAAGTGATATATGATAAAAAGAGTAAAAGATTTGGGAATTAATCTAGAATTGAAATGCTAGTAAGAATCAAAGAACATATAATTAGTACTAACTGTATTTGGCTAAATCTAGATTGTGTTATCGACCTAGAGAAGGTCATTAGTGACTGGGCCCAAGCTACTTGGATAGCTGTAGCAAACAAAAATTGGAATGCCTTACAAACAGTTAGATTTATTGAAGTCACCTTTAAAGGGATAGTTCACGACTAGTTTGCTAGTCTAAATGAAGAAGACAATAATGTTATTGTAAGTGGAAATCTTGCTTTAGAAGAAGTTAATGAAAATGAAGCAATTCAAGACATAATAAATAAGTTTGAATCAACCATTAGAAGAGAATTCTAAGGAGAAAATTGGGAAGAAAATCAAGGAAAAGAGGAGGCCAGAATTGTGGAATTTGCAAAATTTAGAATTATGTAATCTATGTGAATTAGATCAATACATTTGTCTATTTCAGAAATACTATTATAAAACTTCAAATCATGAAATGACTAAAGGCCTCATGGAATTGTTTTTTGGAAAAATTTCTAATCCTTGGGGAATAAAATTGGCAAAAGCCTATAGAATATATGTAGAAGATAAGAAAGATACTTTAGGGTTAAGGATTTGGTTCGCTAAAACCAAAATTAATGAATGGTGCCTAGAAACCTGTAGCCAGAACAAACTAAGAAAGAGTATGAAAAAGGGACTATGTTGTCCTACGAATATTGATCCAATCAAGTTAGAATGTAGTTACACCAACTACAACAAGAGAAATAAGAAGTTTAGAATTAAAATAAGTAATAAACAAAGGTTTAATAAGAACAAATTTTCTAGAAAGAAAAGGAGGTATTTTAAGAAAACCAAAACATTAAAAAAGTATAAAAAGAATCCAAAAAAATGCACATGCTAGTTGTGTAAAGAAGAAGGGCATTATGCAAATGAATGTCTTAAAAGATACAAAAGAGAAAGTACTAAAAACCTAAAAATTTATGAAGAACTAAGTGAAATAGATACTAGCTCTATACGTAGCGAAGAAAGTATATATGAAGTGGAAAGTTTATATACCTCTAGTAATGATGAATCAGAATATTAAAGAAGGAGAAGCTTATTCTGAAGAATATGAAGGACATGGAGAATACAATCAAATAACTGTATTTGATAAAAGTAAACATAAAAGAATTAGACAAAAGAGAATGGACCTTGCTTTAGAAAAAGGATTCAAACCAAATTCCTTTATAAGTAATTCTTTTAAGAGAAAAGATATAGTTTATTATGGAATATCCACTAAAGAATATAGCACATTCCTATCAAGAATACAATGAGAATAATAAATATACCTTTGATTATCAAGACAAAAATAAAAAGCAAACTATCAAAAATTAAAGAAGCTGATAGATCAAAGATCGGTTTTATCCACATTGGAGGAATACAAATACTTATTAAAGCCCATTTTAGAGAACGAATAGACACCTCAATAAAATTAGCTTTAATAGATAATATAATCAATGATAGAAAGGATGCTATCCTTGGATTAGTGTAAGGTAACCTTAGTTACTAAAAACTTACGTTTACAGTATATCCAAAATATGCTGTAAACATTAATGATAGAAATATTAATAAAACCTTAAGTTTAACATATGAATTTGCTAGAGAAAACTTTATAAAAGATGGATCAATGCCATATAGTATATACTATATGATAAGTTATGCATTGACTAATAATCATCAATCTAATCTTTTTAAAGATAAAGAATATATTGAATTAGATCATATGTTCTCTGAAATAGGACAAATTCAAAAACCAAAAATGATAACCAAAATAGAATTACCCAAACAATGGGAAATAGACATTAGTGAAAAACCACTCCTAATAGGAGAAAGAGAAACACCTAGACTAATGGCATATGAGTAAGGAAAACTATTAGTCAAAACAGAACCTAAATCGAGCCATAGAAATAGTGTAGACTTAAGAGTTATACGCCATCCTAAGAAAGATAAAGAGATCTTAACTAGAACAACTAGTATAAAACATGAGGTAGTATTAGACACCTTAAAATCCCTTCTAGACATTTCAAAATAAAAGGATATTATTATGATGGGAAAGAATGGCATAACATTTCTATCCTAATAGATACAGGAGCAGGAGTAACACATATTCATAGTGATATGATCCCACACCTACCAAGATTTGAACTCACTAAGCCATACACATATTACAACTTAATGGTGCGGTGACTACAGTACATGAATATGCTAAAGTACCTCTTAAAATAGAGGATAAGAATAAGATACAACATGAAATCACTACAATAGCTCATGTTGAAACAGATATGACTGCAAGTATAGAATTAATGCTAGGAAATATGTTCTTAACATCGGTACAGCCCTATAACATCCAAGAACATTATTTAAAGATTACCTTAAGTG